ATCTGCAAGAGGATCTCTACCTGAACAAGAGTCTTCTCAATAGTCATGAACATCTCCACATTTCTATCCATTCTGGATGGATTCTGCAGATCAAACCTCCTCCTGAAGAAATACAGGCACATCAAAATTAAATATATTAGCATTATCTTGTTAGCAATACCACTCTGAGATTCACAGACGTAACTAATTATCCCAAACCCCTTGATCACCCTTTCTGAGGTTCTACTCACCAGCCCTGCTCGCTTTTGAACTTGTATGCAGAACCCAAAATGTGGCAAAGGGCTCCTCCAGGTTTGAAGTCCAGAAAGATCTTTGCCTAGAATTACATGGAAAAAAAGGGGGGAAATATCAATTGGTGTGCAATTACAAATGTACGTATCTGCTGAATTGCACCATAAAAATGTAGCACTGCACTTTAACAAAGTCTCACAGTTAAAAATAAATAAAAAGTTATGGTATAGAGGAGTGTAATCAAGGCATAGTTCAAGCAGAAATTAAAATTCTGTCATCTATTACTTTACATCATCTTGTTCCAAACTCACAAAACTTTTATTCAAATTCAAAACGCAAAAAAAGATATTAAACTTGATGAAACCAAAGAGATTTGTCAATCAACTGTAAGTGCATTCCACCAAAACCGATGCTTCAAAAAGAAAAATTTTATATATATATATGCATTTATCAGTTTAATCCAAGTCTTTTGAATAGAAACTATAACTTTACAGTTTTAAAATTTTATTCACATGAAAACATCGATCAACAACGATTACATGATCAACAACGCACATACATAAAGCACATTAAACATGGCCAACGGCAGTTCAATTAAACTTGCTTGATGCACGATAAACCTCATTGGTCTAGTGGAAGCTCAAATATGCTTTCGTGACATGCGAGAACAAACCTCATTGGTTCTTGTGCATCAAACAAGAACATTTCAGCTTCGGTCTACCATATCTAATGTGCTCCATGCTCAAGCTTATATGTGAATAAAAGCCTAAATTAAATATGTTCATCATATAAAGCAATCTATTCAGAATACTTTGATTTACTGTAGGATTAATATGGATTACATTTGTTTATGTTTTATGATCTTTAGTATATGTACTGTTAATGGAGAAACAGAAATAAAAATCTCTTAATTTGTGTTATGAAGATGAATAAAGTCTTATGAATTTGGAACATGAAGAGAAAATGCTGCAAACTCAGACTTACAGGTAGTTTGGTAAGGGCAGGATTGCTGACCCTACGCCCAAATGCATCCTCCTGAAACTGCAGCAACTGCACCACCAGCGCAGCCAAAGTTTTGCTTGTAGGAGAGTCGGTTTGGACATACTTCAGAAAAACAGAAGAAAGAAAAGTCATAATAAATATCAGCAATTCAATCAGAATGGTGTTAGCATTAAACATTCATGTTGCTGTTTTTTTATAATTATAAAAGAACAAAAATAACTTAGATCTTTAGCAATCATACAATATTAATTACCAAAACAGTGCATCACATAACACAGCTGGACAATAAAAAAGTACAGATTTAATGATCCAGTGCAACATGTGTGCAAAGGATTTAAATAGCGTACTGACAAAATGACCTGGGTTAAAGAAAGACAGTAACGTTAGTATCATTTTAAATATCATGGTATTATTTACATAACTGAAGAGTACCATGCAAATACCCATGTTAATTATTCAGTAAGTACCTAATCGTAAACAATCACTGTATCATAGTACCACCAATACTTACACAATAACATTAGACAGTCAGTAAACAAACTTCAGCACAAACAACTGAGTGTCCGTGGCGGAGACCACTAAGTTTACTCTGACTTTTAAGTTGTTCACCAATGGGAGCGTGTCCCAAAAATGTTGAAAACGAAGATATTATTCAAGCAGATTTTAAGACACGGGCATATTCATGGCAGATCGCGCGTCCCAGTCACCGACGTTAGCATTAAAGCTAACTCATCAGTCCACAACACTGCCGTTTAAAACTACACAAGAGCAATACTTGCTGGATACAAAGCCAGCCCGGAACCTAAACAACATCTGCACAACCGTTTGTTTCTACATATTCAAATAACCGATTATGATAACGAATAAGTTATAAACTAGAAACGCTTCTTGTAGCTATTGTGTGATGCGCGCGCGCCCCCATTCAACGGGCGCCTCATGAGCCGCATACCTTCTTATAATGTTTACCGATCCAGAGCCGAACTGTCTCCAACTGAGACACCGTTTCCGAGCTCTCCCAATATTTGGAAGATGGCCCTCCATCTTTTTTCCGTCCTATTGAGGAACCGGCTCCCGCTTGGCCGGCCGATGGTCCTCCGGAGCCCGTTCCGCCCGCTGCAGTCGCCGCTGTCGCCATTGTTTCTTTATTAGCGATAGAGGCTTGTCTGTGGAAACTGTTTTAAAATGACACTGCGCATGCGCAACGGCCGACGTGCTGGAGTCGTTGCTCAATGGAAATCTCGCGAGATCTCAGAAATATATATAGTTTTTTTCTTTTAACAAAGAATAAATTCTATTTTGTTTTCCAAATTATATATAATTTATAATAGTTAAAGTAAAATATGTTTTGGCAAAATGTGTATTCCTGCTCAGAGAATTCTGATACAAAACATGTTACATTTAAAATATTATAATATAAATGGAAATTGATTTCGAGTAAAATTAGAGGCAGAAATTATTTTGTAGTGTCTAGAACAAGACAGATTGTTATAAAATAAAACTTTTAAACAAAGTGGAATTCATTATCTAATATTTTTATTCTATTTGACAATGCACAGATGCGAACCTCAGCTGAAACATCTTACATTTTCCATATTTAAGCATTTGTTCAATACAGATAATTTTAAAATACTTAATATTATTTAGCAGAATGAAATAAGAAGAGCAAAATCTGCTTGTTACACCAGTCAGCCGGAGTGCCCATGATAACCACCAGAGGGCACTCCCTCCGTCTCCTTTACTGGTTCATGAAATAGGGGAGACCGGGGACACAGTTGCAACAGGCGATGGTTGCAACATTGCATTTATCTCCAATCAGAAACAAGCTAGAGTGATGACACTTTATTTCTTTGTTTTTGTTATACTGTTTTCACTTTTTATGTGATTCAGCTCAAACCTATATGGTTTAAATGAGTGATATGTTAACTTTAAGCTGTATGGTTAGCATGTATCAAGGTAGCCTTGTTTAGCTGGTACATGAGGTTTTATCATGGCTGACAGGAATGGGGACTGCAACTGTCCCCGTTCCTGTCAGCTATTGTAAAACAATCACGAACAATGGATACATTATAAACATAATATAAAATAGTTTTTTAAAATGTTTGTTTTACATGACAAAATAAAAGTTAATTGCCTCACAAATTGTTCCATTCTTCTTCCAGTCACTAAAAGCCTACTGTACTTTATATCAGTTTGAATATTTGACATCTGCACGTAATTTATTCATCAGCTTTGATTAGATGACAATTATAGATTTATCTAGACAAATCTATAATTGCCATCTAATCAAAGCTGATGAATAAATAACACTGTGATATTATTATAACTTACATTTTTGATAATAATCATTTTGCTTACACTGACATGTACTAACATGTTGCAACCATCCCGGAACAATGTTGCAACCGAACAATGAGACATTGTGTACAAAGTCATTTGCGCAGGGTGCAATATAGGGCCCTCAGAGTGCGACATACAGAACCAGAAGTTCTGTACATGCATATCCTGTATGGAAGGGAAAGGTGATGGATTTATGCACTGCAATAAAATGCACTGCACCTTTTTGACTTAAATTATCGGAAATTACCAAAAAAAGAGTTGAATAACATAGTCCGTAAACTTACTCCAAGCTTAACAAACCATAATTATTTTTATCACAATTGTTACAGCACATTTATCTCAGATGACCTGTTTAGATAAAACATCCAGGCCTTTAAAAGCTGGTCCATTGATGTTTCTGTGATTTAAGGGTGATGAACCATTTTTGCCCATATAAAGTAAACTTCATTTTGTCTATTTGAAAACTGTAATGGAAATGGTCTTTTTCATGTATCTTTTTAAACATATATCTGCTAGTGTGTTTTATAAAACATAGTGTCACATGTCTGTCCTGTCTTGTGATGCATATGGGTGTTTTGTTATTTTGAGCCATGTGCTCTTGTCATTCTCTGATCCCTCCCCCTTGTTATCTGATTATTGGTTTATTTTTCCCACCTGTCATCCTCACTACCCTCTGTGTCTCTGTGTTTGCCTGCCTATTAAGTCTTCCTGTGTTTGCTGTCCTGTGCTCGTTCGTTGTATTTGTTACGCGTGTTCATCGTGTTGAGTTTTATGCCTGTCCCTGCCCTGCCCTGCCCTGCCTTCTCTGTTTTGGATTTAGTTACTGAAACCTTGCTGTTCTTTTGTTGGTTTGTTTATTTTATGTTTTTGTCTTAAATACTCCTCATTTCACTCCGCACCTGAGTCCTCTGATCCATTCCCCATTACCCACCGTGACACATACAAATGTGTGTTATTGTTTTAGATAAATGTGTCCTTTCAAACGTAGCCTAGATGTGTCAGGGAAATTGCAAAGAGGTCATATAGCAAAAGGAAAGAACGTTCTGCTTTTCTTAACAAAAAATAGAGATTAAGCACAAGACTACGCGCAAGACATGTTTGGTTAGGGGAACTGAAACCATGTGTGCGTGCAGGAGCCCAAGATAAGAAGAGGAGGGGGTACATCTTGGAGGGTGACCTTTTTTGTATATAAGGTCTGTAAAATGAGAAGATCTTCGCCCTTCTCATATCAGACTGTGTCTGTGTGTGAACTGCCTTTCTTGCAAGAAATAAATACGTATACTTGTGACTTTCGACATCTTCATTTGTTCTTTAATTGTTATTTAAGATCTATAGGTACAAAACTTCCACAACAAAACCTTTTTTTTTGTACATTATAAAATACAGGTGAGTGACTTGCTTATTTAAAAGAATCGAATCAGATTATGTTTTTATGTGCATGCTATCATTTGAATGACATAATTTACTTAATTGCCTGTCAAATTAAATGATAAAAAAGTCCAATTACATTCTGTTAAATATTAAAACAAACTCTCACAGAAAATCCGATTATAAACATAAACAATATTAGTAACACTTGTCAGTTTTGTCATTATTTTATGTTCCTTCCCATGTGTAGGATAATGGAAACGCACATGTTTTTTCTACTTTGGATCTTTGTGATGCCTTATTTCACAGACACAACAACAGCTAAAGGTACAGTTCAAAATTACACAAATAGTTTCAATAATACAGACACACTCACAATACATTATAAACACTGGTTGCTGATCACTGAACATGTCATACTTTTATCAGGGCAAGTTTTCACCTATGATTTATGTTTTAATTTTTAAACAATTCATTAAATGTCTTCTGGACAAAACTTTTTTTTTTTTTTTTTTACTTTTTTTAGGAAGTGTTTATTGTTGTTTTATGAAATTATAATTGTTAATGTGAAAGATGTTTTTAGATATCATTTTATATTGAAAAAAATACTCAAGATTGTGGCTAATGTCTCAAAATGACAGATTTTTCTCCTTGGCAATAAAGGTGGAAGTGCACAATTACTTTATAGATATAGACTGAGTAGATACATCTATGCAGAAATGTACTGTCAAAAAATAAATACATAAACCTAAGAAATAATCACTGAAGTCAAAAGTTAAATATTATATGGTAAAATGTTGTTTTTTTTATTATTATTATTTTTATTTATCTATTTACTTGTGTGTGTATAACACATTTTGACTATGCTTTATCAATTTCAGCTACAAATCTGGCTTTATTTGGCAAGGCCACACAGTCGCACCTGGTTGGGAATCCTTCGGCATCATTTGGCCACGCCAGTAATGCTATTGATGGAAATCGTGACTCAATTTATGAACATGGATCCTGTACTGCTACTACTACCCAAGATGACCCATGGTGGAGGTTAGATTTACTAGACAAGTACGTAGTGACCTCCATAACTATCACGAACAGAAAAGACTGCTGTCCTGAAAGGCTTGATGGAGCCGAGATACGGATCGGAAACTCTCTGCTAAACAACGGCAACAGCAATCCATTGTAAGAAAGCCTTTCAAGAGAAGACTCTCTCAAAGAACAATGTGATGAGGTTATACATACTGTACATGAACTCAAAAATGATCTATATGCTGCAATTTTTATACAGGGCTGAAAAGATTTCATCCATTCCAGGTGGGAAATCCCTCACTTTCAAATGGGAAAAAGGCATTCCAGGCCGTTACATCAATGTGGAAATACCTGGTCATAATCGGCTTCTTACTCTCTGTGAGGTTGAGGTTTACGGTTATCCAGCTCTTGATGGTGAGAACATTTATGATCAGGATTTGATTACTTTGGCACTAATAAAAATAAGCAGATATTTCAGATTAAGCAATGTTGTAAACATGTATTCCATTTAGTAATTTATTCAAAACTATGAGTACATGTGAAACTCATCTGTGGTTGTAGGTGAAAACGTGGCTTTAGGAGGAGTAGCTACACAGAGTTCCCTCTACTCATATGGCCTTGCATCCAATGCCATTGATGGGAACAGAGATGGTGTTTACAGTCATGCATCTTGTACCCACACTTCAGAAGAGGTCAATCCCTGGTGGAGACTGAACTTACTGAAAAGACACAAAGTGTTTTCAGTGGTTATTACAAACACATTAGACAGTGCTCCTACAAGACTAAATGGGGCAGAAATCAGAATTGGAAACAGTCTGGACAACAATGGCAATGATAATCCCAGGTAATGAACTCATCTTAATATGCCATTTTGGAGACGTTCTCAGAATTACTGTCGTTTGCAATGTGACACATACTATAAATTGACAACAAATTGGTAAAATGTGATTTGGGTTTTGAGATTTTTTTGTTTGTTCTGTTCATTTGCATTTAACTAGTTTGACTTGATGCATAAATGTGTTTTGCTTTTAATATAACTGGTGATTCAGAGTTTCTCAAGATGCTTAACTCTCTCTTTCTTCAGGTGTGCTACGATCTCTTCCATTCCTGCTGGGTTTTCCACCTCTTTTGACTGTGACGGGATGGAAGGACGTTACATTAATGTTGTTATTCCAGGACGGAAAGAATATCTTACACTGTGTGAGGTTGAAGTGTACGGATCACCACTGGATTGAGAAGAACTTAAACAATAGGACGTATAAAAACAAAATATTGGTGGCTGGAGAGTTTTACTTCAGAGTTTTATACCACAGTTTTCAAAACAGGGCATGTAATATTTTAAGCCTCTTTAATGCACTGCACGCTGCAGAAAGTATTAGACAGATTTGTGTGACTTTTGATCAAAGGACACTGCGGGAAATGGACAACATGGAGACTTTTTTGTAATGTAATGCAGCTGTGAAAATTGTGTAGGCTATTGTAAAATGAATGATAATTTTGTTATGAAGTCTGTAGTGTCAGAGCCAATATATTATATTTTATTTACAGTAAACTCCAAATAATGATGTTTTCAAAAAGATTCCCAGCACTCTAGATTAACGTAGATCAAAAAAAAAAAATTAATCATGTAGAACGTAACCAGAAGCGTCGTGGTTGTTTTCAGTCAACTCATTTTTGACTAAGTTGTAGTTATTTTGTTGTGCCTCTGGATGGCAGTGTAAGCATGTACATCACCATTAAACGTGTCATTAAAAGAAACACGTATTTTCCTAACTCTCTGATTGTCATCTTTATTTGTTTATAAGCATAATTAAAAATTATTATTTTTTTTAATTCTCCATGTTCTGTCAGCTTCTGACTCTATCTATCAATTGACATGACAATACAACACCATATTGACGATAGTTTTATATAGATAATTGGACTGTTGAGTTTTAATACAGATAAGTTAATACGTGTTTTTTTAATGACCCATTTAATGGTGATGTACATGGTTCAGTAAGGCCTGCAAAACGTGTTGTTGTATAGCAGTCCCTGCAAAATGCTTGAGATTTCCATAAAATAAAATAAAAATCTACAATTAAAAATAACAACAGCAACCCATTACCGTGTTTCAATTGCTTGCTATCTCTGCAAGTTCCAGTTTTATCGATTCCTTTGTCACAATAACTGGTTTAATTGTTATTTTGTCTGGTCTCTCTTGTGTTTTCCCTGCCTGTTAGCTTATTCTAGATTTCCTCTGTGTTTTGCCTGTACCCTATGACCTTGTTATTGTTTGGACTGATTACAAGGTGTTTATGATTATTGCCTGTTTTCGACTACGATTGTGGATTACCCTTTCTATAAAGCTGACTTTGATCCTCAACCTTGTCTCAGAGCAGTAAAAATGTATCATCCCAAAAGGACTTTATTCTCCTTGGCAATAACGATAGAAATGATACAGCTTTCATTAGCGATACACTTTTGTGTCAGATATGAAGCTTACTTTCTGATTCAAATTTAGCAAAAGATCTCACTTTATATGCTGCCATTTTTATACAGGGACAGATTTCATCCATTCCTGGAGGGAGATCCGTGGTCGAAATACCTGGTAGTAATCGGATTCTTACTCTCTGTGAGGTTGAGGTTTACGATTATTCAGCTCCAGATGCTCAGTACATTTGTGATCAGGATTTGATCAGTTTGGCACCAATAAAAATAAGCAGATATTTCAGATTTAGCGATGTTGTAGACATATATTCAATTTAGTAATTTTTTCAAAACTATGAATTCATGTGAAACTCATCTGTGGTTGTAGGTGAAAACATGGCTTTAGGAGGAGTAGCTACACCGAGTTCCCTCTACTCACATGGCTTTGCATCCAATGCCATTGATGGGAACAGAAATTGTGTTTTCGGCGTGGATCTTGTACCCACACTTCAGCAGAGGTCAATCCCTGGTGGAGACTGAACTTACAGAAAAGACACAAAGTGTTTTCAGTGGTTATTACAAACACATTAGACGCTGTTCCTACAAGACTAAATGGGGCAGAAATCAGAATTAGAAACAGTCTGGACAACAATGGCAATGGTATTAGTGTTACTTGATCTTATAGTGCTGTGTTTGACACAACAACATTCTTTTAAATACACTAGAAAACTATGTTGGCATTAGTGGAATTGTATTAGCATGGTTTAAATCATACTTATCTGACTGTTATTAGTTTGTAGCAGTAAATAAATGAAGAGATGTCTTATTGATCACAAGTTCAGTCTGGCGTACCACAAGGCTCAGTACTAGGACCGCTGCTGTTCACTCAGTCTGTACATGCCTTGGGAGATATCATTAGGAAACATGGATTAGCTTTCACTGTTATGCTGATGATACTTAGCTGTATATTTCTTCAAAACCTAACGAAACTTACCAATTCACAAAAATAACGGACTGCATAGCTGATATAAAAAAAATGGATGACTAGTAATTTCCTGCTAAATTCAGAAAAAACAGAGATTCTAATTTCTGGACAAAAAAATTGCACACGTAACAGCCTAAAACACCGTCTAACACTTGATGGCTGCTCTGTTAAGATTTCGTCCTCAGTTAAACTATTGATCAGGGACACTGCGGGAAATGGACAATATGGACAATTTTTTTTGTAATGAAATGCAGCTGTGAAAATTGTATGTTGTAAAATGAATGATCCTTTTGTTATTAAGTCTGTAGTTTCTTGCAAATGTCTATGTAAAATTAAAATTATGCTTTTATGGAAAAATCTAAATCAAAAGTTACAGGATTAAAAACACACCCCAGCAAAAACAGCGATGCATTCATTGCTTAAGGTTATTGGGAGAAAATAAATTATTATAGCTGTTTTTTTGGGGTTTTTTTTTTTTACATACTTTAAGAAACATTAGGTCAAATCTAATAGATGATTTCTAATGAATTACTTTGTGTTTTTGTCCTGTTATTCCAGCCTAATATGTGGGAGAGTCAAACAATATAAATTTGACACACCTTGCACACACTGTGTTTTGCTCTATTTTGAACAAACATTTTAAGTATAAAAAATATGGCATTTAAAAAATCCCCAAAATATTAGAATAAATAATTTTCCACTTTGCAGGAGAAATATATAAAAGTTTAACTAAGGAGTCTTTAGGCAAAACTAAGACCTGCGATAGCACAGAAGACACGTTTCTTTATGATGGTGACTTTTAATAAAACAATATCGTTGAGCACAAAATAGAGATAACACTGCAGGACTTTAAACACAATCATACGTGCATATAAAACTGGATCACATTATGGTTTCAACATTGTTTGAAATTTGGCATTTTGACAGGTTAAAGAATCGGTTGGTTTGCTCTGTTTTTCATTGCTTAAAGGTCACATGTAATAAATTGATCAAATCGAGACTCAGAGTGTGATAGACAGAAGTTAGTACAGAAGTTCAGTACATGCATATCCTGTGTGGAAGGGAAAGGTGGTGAATTTATGCACTGGGAATAAAACCACAGCACCTTTATAACTTAAATTATTGGATAAGGCCAAAAATGAGTTGAACAACATAATCTTCTTCCGTAAAGTTACTGCAAGCTTAACAAACAAACCATAAAATATTTTACAATCAAATAAATCAAAATTCTGGTAAAGCACATTTATCTCAGATGACCTGTTTAGATAAAACATCTAGGCCTTTAAAAGTTGTCTTGTATTTATAGCTGGTCCATTGATGTTTCTGCGATTTAAAGGTGATGAACCATTTTTGCCCATAGAGTAAACTTAATCTTGTCTATTTGAAAACCTTTTTTTTTGTACATTATAAAATACAGGTGAGTGACTTGCTTATTTAAAAGAATCAAAATGAATGTCAGATTATGTTTTCATGTGCATGCTATCATTTAAATGACATAATTTACTTAATTGTCTATCAAATTCAATTATAAGAAAGTCCAATTAAATTCTGTTAAATATTAAAACAAACTCTCACAGAAAATCCATTATAAACATAAATAATATTAGTAACACTTGTCAGTTTTGTTATTATTTTATGTTCCTTCCCATGTGTAGGATAATGGAAATGCACATGTTTTTCCTACTTTGGATTTTTGTGATGCCTTATTTCACAGACACAACAACAGCTAAAGGTACAGTTCAAAATTTCACAAATAGTTTTAATTATGCAGACACACTCACAATACATTATTAACACTGGTTGCTGATCACTGAACATGTCATACTTTTATCAGGGCAAGTTTTCATATATGCTTTACTTTTAAACAATTTTTCAAAAGTCTTGGACAAAACTATGGTTTTGATATTTTTGCATGTTCCCTTTTTGACTTTTTTAGGAAGTGTTTATTGTTGTTTTATGAAATTATAATTGTTTACATTTTGCTGAAAATGCTTTTGTGAAAGATGTTTTTAGATATCATTTTATATTGAAAAAAATACTCAAGATTGTGGCTAATGTCTCAAAAGGACAGATTTTTCTCCTTGGCAATAAAGATGGAAGTGTATATATATATATATATATATGGAATAAATAAATAAACCTGAGAAATAATCACTGAAGTCAAAAGTTAAATATTATATGAAAAGTTCAGATGCAAAAGCCTCTAAGTGCCATTTGGAATTTTCTTCTAAAATGATCATTTTTATCAAGCTTGTATATTTAAGTTCAGTAATTTCACTTAAATGGCAATGAAGGTTACCTATTAATTGTCATTTAAGTGAAATTACTGAACTTAAATATACAAGCTTGATAAAAATGGTCATTTTAGAAGAAAAATTCAAATGGCATTTAGAGGCTTTTGCATCTGAACTCTTCATATGGTAAAATGTTGTTTTTGATTATTATTATTTTGATTTATTCATTTACTTGTGTGTATTACACATTTTGACTATGCTTTATCAATTTCAGCTAAAAATCTGGCTTTATTTGGCAAGGCCACACAGTCGCACCTGGTTGGGAATCCTTCGGCAGCATTTGGCCACGCCAGTAATGCTATTGATGGAAATCGTGACTCAATTTATGAACATGGATCCTGTACTGCTACTCCTTTCCAAGATGACCCATGGTGGAGGTTAGATTTATTAGATAAGTACGTCGTGACCTCCATAACTATCACGAACAGAAAAGACTGCTGTCCTGAAAGGCTTGATGGAGCCGAGATACGGATCGGAAACTCTCTGCTGAACAACGGCAACAGCAATCCATTGTAAGAAAGCCTTTCAAGAGAAGACTCTCTCAAAGAACAATGTGATGAGGTTACATACTGTATATGAACTCAAACATTATCTTTATGCTGCCATTTTTATACAGGGCTGGAAAGATTTCATCCATTCCAGGAGGGAGATCCCTCACTTTCAAATGGGAAAAAGGCATTCCAGGCCGTTACATCAATGTGGAAATAACTGGTCGTAATCGGCTTCTTACTCTCTGTGAGGTTGAGGTTTACGGTTATCCAGCTCCTGATGGTGAGAACATTTATGATCAGGATTTGATCAGTTTGGCACCAATAAAAATAAGCAGATATTTCAGATTTAGCAATGTTGTAGACATTCCATTTCTAGAATGTGTGAGAGAAGTAATGGTAACACTTTACAATAAGGCTCATTTATTAAACATAATGCATTAACTAACATGAACTAACCATGAGCAATACATTTGTTACTGTTTTTGTTAATCTTTGTTAACGTTAGTTAATACAAATCCAGCTGTTCATTGTTTGTGCATGCTAGTTCACAGTGCATTAACTAATGTTAACAAGATGTCAATAAAGTAACAAAGATTAACAAATGCTGAAGAAGTATTGTTCATTATTAATTAATGTTAACGTAGTTAACTAATGAACCACTATGAATTCATGTGAAACTCAACTGTTGTTGTAGGTGAAAACGTGGCTTTAGGAGGAGTAGCTACACAGAGTTCCCTCCACTCACATGGCTTTCCATCCAATGCCATTGATGGGAACAGAGATGGTGTTTTCGGGCGTGGATCTTGTACCCACACTGCAGCAGAGGTCAATCCCTGGTTGAGACTGAACTTACTGAAAAGACACAAAGTGTTTTCAGTGGTTATTACAAACAGATTAGATGGTGTTCCTACAAGACTAAATGGGGCAGAAATCAGAATTGGCAACAGTCTGGACAACAATGGCAATAATAATCCCAGGTAATGAATTCATTTTAATATGCTATTTTGGAGACGTTCTCAGAATTACTGCCGTTTGCAATGTGACACATAGCTTGGCTACAAATTGGTAAAATGTGATTTGGGTTTTGAGCATTTTTGTTTATTCTGTTCATTTGCATTTAACTAGTTTGACTTGATGAATAAATGTTTGCTTTGAATATAAATGGTGGTTCAGAGTTTCTCAAGATGCTTAACTCACTCTTTCTTCAGGTGTGCTACGATCTCCTCCATTCCTCCTGGGTTTTCCACCTCTTTTGACTGTGACGGGATGGAAGGACGTTACATTAATGTTGTTATTCCAGGACGGACAGAATATCTTACACTGTGTGAGGTTGAAGTGTACGGATCACCACTGGATTGAGAAGAACTTAAAAACAACAGGATATAGATATATTAGTGGCTATAGACTGAGCTTTACTTTAATCAGACTTTTACATCACAGTTTTGTAAAATGTGAAATATATATATTTTTTTAATTAAAATTATGCTTTTATGGAACAATCATAATCAAAAATCACAGGAAGAAAAAACACAAACCTGGGTAAATCCCAGCAAAAACAGAGATTGAAGAGGTGGTTTTTGGGTGAAAATACAATTATTATAGTCTTTTTCTTTCATTTAAGAAATATTAGTTCAAATCTAATGGATGATTTCCAATAAATTACTTTGAAGTGTTTTGTCCTGTTATTCCAGCCTAATATGTGGGAGAGTCAAACAATATGAATTTGACACACCTTGCACATGCACACTGTGTTTTGCTCTACATTGAACAAACATTTTATGTATACAAATATGGTATTTAAAACATCCCAAAAATAATAGAATAAATAACATCCTGCTTTGCAGGAGAAATATATAAAAGTGTAAGCAAGGAGTCTTGAGGCAAAACTAAGACCTGTGATTGCACAGAAGACACTTTTCTTATGTCTTTGAACTGTTAGCTGTGTGTTCCTGTTGGGAAAAGGGAAATGAGAAAGTAGCCTATTGTGAAATGTATTGTTATAATGTGTCTTTTTGTTGCAATTGTCTTTTTATATATTTGATTTAAATGCCTATAAATAAAGTTATTAAAAAAAAGAAGGCCACTTTTTTCATGATGGGGACATCGAATAAAACACTATCATTGATCAAAAAAACGAATAGCTAACACTGCAGGAGTGTAAATCGTGCATAAAAACTGGGTCACATTAAATAAGACTTTATGCTTTCAACATTGATTGTATTCTGGCATTTTGACAGATAGCTTAAAGGTCACATGTAATAAATCGATCAAATCGAGACTCAGAGTGCGACAGACAGAGCCAGAAGTTCTGTACATGGAAGGGAAAGGAGGTGGATTTATGTACTGGGAATAAACCCACAGCACAATTATGATTTAGATTACTGGAAATTACCAAAAAGATGAAAAGCATATTTTCACAGATAAGGCTTAAGTCTCAGGCTAAACTGAATTATTGAGCTGCATATTTCATCTTAAAATTTGTCAGTGCCATTGTTTTGTCTCAAGATGCACACCAGTAATTTTTCTTCTCTAAGGCGTTTATAAATGCTATTAAATGTCCTAATTGAACTAAGGCCTCATCCTTAATCTAAGTATTTTTTTCATAGCTGTTATTGTAATATTTGTTCTTGCAATTAATATTCAGCATATATAAAATGCAAAAGAAAAAAACAGATGTAGGTGATTTTTAATCAAACGAAACTTGACAATAAACGATATTGACCAGAATAGCATGATGAGAAATAAATGATTATTTTGTTAAGGCTAATATCTGGGATCTTGCGAAATGTGAAAGTATGTCAAATAAGAATAATAAATCTCAATATTAATTATTTTATCATAAAGTATTTTATGAATGTATGTGTGAGTGTGTATGTGTTTGCGCTGTATTATTGTCACGTGTCAGTGTGTTTGAGTTGTGTTGTGATCTTGTTTCCCCCCGTCTTTGTGATTTTGGTTTAGTCCTGTTAGTGTTTGTTCATCGTCGTCAATGTATGGTTGTGTTTTTCCTGAGTTCCTGCATTTCCCTGTATCCTGAGTATGGTAATAAACCTGGGGCCTGTTTCAGAAAGGAGGTTAAGTGAAAACTCTGAGTATGTTAACCCTGAAATGAGGGAAACTCTGGGTTTTCCGTTTCAGAAAGGGGGGTATATCAAACCCGAGAAAGCAGAGTAAGTCAAGCCCGTTTCTGAAAGAGAGGTAACTTATACTCAGAGTCAGTTACCATGGTAACTTACTCTGTGAACCTAACCTGGTCGGGAGCAGGTTTTCTTCAGTAAACCCAGAGTTTCTTGCGGTCTCCTCCCCTTTTTTAAAGAGGAAGTGCTGTTTAAGCACCAACAATAATACTAAAATGTATTTACACATTCTTTAAGCATATATATTGTTTGTCCATGGTTTAATTGACTAAATCTGTTTTGCAGCACTTTGCCAAAAAATAAAAGGATTAAAACGTTTGCTAAACTTTTATAATATATTTCTATTAAATCATTAAAAAAAATAGAATAAAAAACATTTAATAGAACTCAATTAATTTTTCAAACATAATTCAATAAGCTATTAATGATAAAAAATAAGATGTTAATCTTATTCATAATCAATTATTGAAGTTAGTTGATTACATATGTTTTATTGAACAAATGTTTAATTTATTTAACTGTCATTTTAACTGATGATAATAATAACTGTAATTTAAGACTGCAGTTTATATTAATAATAAACCGTAATATTTTCTGAGACGGTTCTCATACTGTGAAACTCTCCCCACATGGGGGAGTCCCCCACCCCACCCCCACTGTTAAACAAGTTACTCAGCAACTTTTACTCATGTTTTAATTTAACTACTTTTTACTTGAGTATATTTTTAGACTGGTATTTTTACTTTTACTTAAGTAAAAATTTATCAAAGTAGTAGCCTACTTTAGGTTGAATAACATTCTTCCAGTTTCACTTCTGATATTATAACAGTAAGTTACTCCAAAATAGTTATGAATTATTAAAAAACATATGACATCTTCAACGGTGTAGTTAGATTAATGTAATAATTACTATCTCTAGAAAGTATTGGTCTAGGCTACATATTACTAAATCCTATATCAACCTCAACCACTTGATTAATACGAGGAGAGACAAGAAACTGCACTTTTAATGCTTTCAAATTAATATACAATTGCATGAATTCTTGAATTGATCAAAGTGTATAGAGGGAGAAGGTTACATAAAAAATATACCTTTTAAAATGTATGTTAAATCCACTATTGTTGTATACTGAATTGGTCTATAGTATGCAGTAGCCTATTTAATGTATATGCATATTATTTTATTTTAAATTACAGAAGAGTAATCCCTTTAATTAAATAACAATATTTAGATTACTTGGTAATTAATTACACCCAACACCTCTTTTTGTCTGGCGCTGTTGCCATGGTGACTCACAATATCTGCGCTTCATTGATAATGGCTTTTTATAGTTGTGGTGCACGCGCTTAACTCAGAGTCAGTCAACTCAGAGTTGATTGAACTAACTCATTTCAGCTGTTCTGTAACCGAAAACTCAGAGTTTCCCATCTCAGGGTAAGTCAACTCAGAGTTCAAGCTTTAACACAGAGTTGGTTGAACCTCCTTATTGAAACGGGGCCCAGGGGCATTGAAATTATGTTTCCTCGTCTTCAGCCTACAGCACAACCGTGACAATTATAACTGCTAAAGGGGAAATAAAACATACAATTTATACTATAAAAGTACAACACACAAAAATATGTCAAAGAAAATCAAATAAACGTTTTCCAAACAAATACTTTGAAGTGTAGTGAAAAATGAAATGTAAATGTACAATATACACATATGGGTGTAAAGAAGGGTGTAAACAACCCAATTATCTCACTGAACAAAAATACTAAAGCCCAGACTGACACCTAGTGGAGGGGTGACCTGACCTGAAGATAAAGACGAACAAACCAATCAAGCCCAAGAAATGATTAATGGAGCTCAATAAAATGATGGCAACAGCTTACCCACTGAAATAGTCGATCACACCTGATGAAATGTGCTATTCTTGATGAACTGAAACTGGATATGGATATAGACTACTCTCTCTGTCTGTCTGCTTCATTCGATTTCACCATAGACAGTAAAAGAAGGATTTCACTAGACTCTCCAAACGCTCCAAACAGAAAAATACAAAGAGAGCTAATCATATCCTTGAGCTAATCAAATTAACTCTACAAAGCCATTATATTATTATGTTATTTAGCTTCATTAATAATCGGAATTTCTCAAAACAATTATGGTTTTCTAACTCAGCTTTTAGAGGATTCCCAGCATTTCAGGTCATTGTAGATCGTAACATGCCGTGTGGAAGTTAATCAGAAGCATCAAGGACGTTTGCTACTCATCACTGCCACTCAGGGTCAGGGACTTAATATGATTATAGTAGACTTAGACATATGTTGGTCCTCCCTTCAATAACTATCCACCACACTTAGCAGAAGCCGCCCCCGTGGTATCCAATTATCTTTTCTGAGAAATAATAATAGCGAGATTCAGTTTATTCACACAAAGACTACATTTCCCAGAATGCATTGTCTCGAAAGCCGGAAGTTCAACGTAGATTTTCATCGTCCTCTGCCGATCACGTCTCGCTCTTCTTTAGTCTGTGGTTTCGCTTCAAGATTCAGAAGGTAAATGTACACAAATGTGTTTCGTAAAGTCAACAACTTGCTAATTATTAGATTCCTCCCTTGCTGTTTGAGACTTGACAGGACGTTTAATTATTTGCTTTCACTGAGCTATAAATAAGAAAGTTTTCCTGTTGTCCATTTCAGCCCCAAAAGTCTAAAGTAAAGTAACTTACGTGATAGAATGTGCATGCGACTAAATGTTAATGTCTGTTTTTATTCCATTACTAGTCTAGCATAAATACCTTTTCACTGCTCATTTGACACTATTGCTGATGATAAAACATTAATACAAGCAACTTTTCTGCTAATTTGTATCTCTAGAATGAAGCAGGAACACGAACATCTCGTTTTGAAAGCATGTGGAGCAAAGTCTCTTCAGATTGGAGTAAAGATTCAGACTTTGTGGAGCGGTTACGGTGAAATATTAAGAGTCCACTTGGAGGGATGTGACCGTCCCTCTGTGGTTGTCAAACATGTAATGTTTCCTCAAAACCAGAAACATCCAGGTGGCTGGAACACAGACATATCTCACCAGCGCAAAGTGCGGTCCTATCAAGTGGAAAGTTATTGGTACCAAAACTACACCACCAATGAACGCTGCAGAGTTCCCATTTGTCTTGCTGCCAAGTCATTTGGTGATGAACAGTTGATTGTTTTAGAGGACCTTGATGTTGCAGGATTTCCTGTGAGAAAAACCTATGT